TTGCGCGGGAAGGAGGTGCGCTTGCTCCTCACATCAGTAGAGGGTTGACTGACGGCTGGACCTGCACGGCCTTTCCATCTATAAGGAGGTACGTACTGGCACATAATTCCCTGGGCTACTTAAAATGAATGCGCCGCGAATAGAGTACATGGAAAGGTCTCGACTTCCTTCGGTCATCGCTATCGGCCACGGCACTGGCTTCCGTAATGTCAACTTGGAAATGGCCCACTTCTCTGGACTTTACCTCTCTGCAAGCCCAACTGTCTGCTCTCTTCTTAGAACTCTCTATGGGACCCGGCTCCTTGTATTCCGAAATCGTGGACTCCCCTCCCGACCCAAAAGTATACCCGGAAGTAGATTGGGACGCCGAAGTCAGATTCGGTCAAGAGCTTTGCATGGCCGAGCGAGCTTTTATTGGCGAACGGAGGAGGGCTATGCGGGCGCCCTTTGCAAATCTCATAGGGGTACCGGAGAGCGATATTGATGAGCGTGACTTGCCAATTGTTGCCGTAGCTGGCTCGGGCGGCGGTATGTTGATTTATCAACATTTGGCGTGGACGGGAAGGCTCTAATTGCTATGGAAAAGGCTACCGCGCGATGCTCAACACCATCGGCTCTCTGATTGGAGCTGAATCCACCGGAATCCTGTCTTGCGTCTCATATACCGCAGGCGTGTCTGGTAAGGACTTTCCCCCGGCGCTATATCTATTCCATCCCACTGATAGACCACATGCTAGGGAGCTGTTGGGCCCTTGGCGTTCTACACTCCGGGGTGGCGGGCTTGTTCCAGCCGAAAGATGCGGCAGCGCACTTGAAGGACCGCATTCAGCTGAGTTACTTTGACAGAAGCACTTTAGATGCACTAGTTACCCCACCGACTCATAAGGTAAGGAGCTAATCCCTAGATCCGATACTTTACTACACGCTAACCATAGAGTTTCCTTGCCGTAGTACCTTCTGGTAAGTGCTGGACTCAGTATCTCATGATACGATGTGACGAATCTGTAGGGCCGTGTTAGTCAGGCATCTTGCGAAAGGCTGCAGGCCCTGGTGGAGCCGTCTCACTCGTGGATGTATACGGTACCTTGCTAGGGTCCAGACTTTTTGTACCGTCCGACCTCAGCAAGTTGAATCCTCAAGATCTGTCTCTGCACCTGATGCGCCGAGGTATTGATAGGGGCCAACGACCTATGCCTATCTTCACTGCCGTGCAGCACGGTGAGTTAGTTATTTCCAAATCAACACACCTATTTCGCTCTAGCGTGTGTGGAGGAGCTTATGATTATTGTCTTAATCGTTCACAGCAACGCCACCCGTCGCAGTTCAAGCACTCAGAGAACTCCAAGCAAAGAGAATTACCGCTGTAGACGAGGATCGTGCCGTTTCCCTCGATCAGGAGAAGATCAGATTGGCGGATGCCACGCGCTGTCTATGGTACGAATTCACGCCTTATGAAATAGGGTGTGATGAAATTGGTGGTGAGCATATTCATTGGGATACACGGAAACCTACGGTAACCGCTTGTGTGCAGCATGGATCCCATCTTGGTCATTTGGGCGACAATTCAGGAATGGACTAAGCGTTGAACGGCGCGTACGTCACCTCCCTCGCATCACCATCCTTGATCCCCGTCTCTAATATATCCTTTATAGCCAGAACTTGGATTCACCATCTTGGCGGGGTGAGTACTGAATATTTGCGTAATATCATGCTGTGCTTGAAACGTCATCACACGACCAGAGTCTTCGGTTCAGCGTTCTGCGCTTCTTTAAAGGCGAGCAACTCTGTTGATTCAAACCCTATAAACGCCGATTTACAAGGTTTGCCACACTTTTTAGCACTACTTTGCGGAGATTCAACCTACCCTAGAAGTTTTACCGTCACAACTGTTCCGCTGGCTGCGGGAAATTATTACTGAGAACGAAAGAGACTTTGGCCTTATACACCCTGTACTACCGGATCAGGTAAGCGCTGTCACATTAGGAAGTTTAACGTTCTGATATATGCGCTCCTAATCGCTGATAATCCAAGTTTATAGGTCCCGAATTTTCTCAAGGGCCTTGATGGTCAGCTGCGTTATGGCAGCCCGCCGGACCTTGCGGATAGAGAGTATATGAGCTTTATGGTATGTATACTGCCAAGTAAGGTATCATTGTGCTCTGCCTGACGACTACTCGCACTCAGGACGCAGGAGGTACTCTCCGCTGTTCCCTAGAACAATCTATTTATTAATACAACTACCCGCAGCTGAACTTAATCTTCCCTACTACCCCCTTCTAAGAAGAAACGTGGATTGTATAATTGCATTAGACGCTAGTGCAGATTCCCAAGTAGGTTTGTTGAACATGGATAAATGTGCCAAGCTTCAATATCTTTTTTCTCTCACTAGGACCTGTGGTTTACACGAGCTGAAGGTTGTGCGGACCTCTTTCGGCGGAAAGCACTTTGACGTTGATGATGACTCTCGCACAGAACTTGCAGCTAAACGAGGTCTTCGAACCTGGCCAAAGGGGACAGGCTGGCCAGTAGCGGTGCAGCCCCAGGGAGATGCCAATGCGGCCATAAATCGCAACGCCCCGGGTGCTTCTCCCACCTCTGATACTGCAGCACAAACGGCCACTCGCAAGCTTGCTGAAACACAGGAGTCCGAGCTCGCGGGTCAGACAGACAAACAAGACTCTGGCACATCGCACGATTTGCCACAGGGTGAGGAGATCCCCTCAAAATCAATATATAAACTAGTACGAACTGACGTTTTGACCAGAATCAAGAGGATCGTCCGAGTCGGAGGTTTTTAGCCGACCCCCGTCAATTAGACCCTGTGAAGTCTGGATCGGTTCTTCAGAATCTAACGAGGAGGACTCTTCACGGCTGGACGACCTTGACGAAGACGCTCTCCTGATGCGTGACGGCATCGGTGTGGTGTATATACCCCTTGCATCCAATGAAAGGACGTTACCTGGCTTTGACCCCTTCGCGATCTCGACCTGGAGGCGAGAAGTCACTGCAGAAGAGAGCCAGGCTCTATTAGACGTTGCACAGGTATGAAGCTCATAATTGTGATCTGATCAATTCGGCTGATTGAGTATTCAAGGCCAATTTTGAGGACAGTAGGGAAAAGATTGTGAGGCTGCTACGTGCGATTTGGCTGCGGAAGAAGCACACGAGGGAACAGAAGGAATGGCAAGAACACTTTATACAATTTCGTAAAAATCTACGTCACAACCTGCTGTAATAAACCTTACTGACGGACATGATTCATAATGCATCCTAGTTGTACAGGGCCTATATGGTGTATGAATGCATCTCCCGAGGAGCTGCGTCAGAAACGTGTTTTGTCCGACAACCAGCCTCGAAGTCGGTTTTGGCTTAATTCACAGAAGCCCATATGTTTGCCAAGTGAGGTTCCATCTCCTCAGCGTTCCCCAACCATCTGATTGTCTTGTCTTTCGGGGTTATAATGAACACTATGTACGGCAGCCACGTCAACGGATGTTTGAAAGCAGCGACATCAGCTTACCTAAAGGGATGGAGATATTCTTCCCAGGCTTGAACAGAGCTATAACGCCGTCAGCTTCCAGCTAGAAGGCGCGACATCATACACACGACGACTGACCATTGATGGCGACACGGTTCACGTCAACGAAGATCGGATAATTCATGTTCGCTCGCGAGAAGATGAAGTCTTTTAGGGACGGAATATCTGTGTCGGTGTTGTTGAATATTCCTTCGTGGTTGAACGTAATAACCTTGACCCCAGGTCGATTGGCGATCTCGGATAGATGCGAGAATACTCGATGACAAGGCTGTGGCAATGATTAGAAGAACCATCCATGGCTAGTGGGGGGTGTGATCTCAAAGACGTACTCGACACCATCTGTTAAGGAGATTGATGTCAGTGTTTCGTGGCTTAGCCGATCAGGTAGAGGATAGACCTACGTTGCCCAAAACTCAATAACGAGTAGCTTGGCGTCTCTCCAGCCAGTTTTGTTGCCTCGGATCCATACAAATGCATCCTGGTCTATCCAATCGAGGTCTACCTGCCTACCCTGCAGCGGGCTCACCCAGCCCGGTCGGAGGAACGGCGGAGGTCCCCTTTTCAGTTGAGCCTCCAAGGCTTCCCAAGTCGGCATTTTTTTCTTCGCGCGCAGACTGTCGATAACGGTGGCGTCGTGGCGTGACCGGAAGTCCTCTAAACTCAAGGTTCAGACGAAAACATTGAGGACAGATCAGTCAAGGATGGTTACTTACTAACCGCGGCCTCCCATTTGGCTTCACGGGGAAGAACCGAGAATGACGTCTCAGCACCGTTCTACAGGCACGATGAAGATGCTGTGCTGATACTATACTCACCTTGATTCCACCTATCTTCGTATACTTCCTGGAAAGCCGACCATATGCGTGCGCGATAATCGTGCATGGCTGCAGCCTCCTGGGGTGTTTCAGCCTCTGCTGGTCTCGACATAATGACGGGCGGATGATTCGGAATCAGGAAGGAGTATCAAGGCAAGGGTTTGATAGCTTAGTACTAGAGCAGAGGGTGAGAGACGGTGTGAGTTGTATTCTGTGTGTGGCAAGCTCACTTTTATATGTTGCACCTAGTAAATTCGTGTTCCGTTCCACTGGGCATAGCTTTCCGCTGCGAACATGCTGGGCATGCTATCTATAAACATACAAGGACATCCCTGTGATAAGTGTCACAGAGTTCAATCAGCCTAGGCTACCACATGCTTCATCAATCAAAATTATCAAACCTGCTAGAATCTGACTTGGCGCCAGTAATCGACGCGGCCTCACAAGAAGAGAAGCCGTGCCTGAGACAACTCTCTGAGTTCCATCAGAGAACATGAGAGTCATTTCTATTCGCTAACGCGCTACAGTCAACTTTCCAGGCATCCCTCCCCACCATTGTGGCAATCATGTTCAACGCTTCGATGTCACCGACGCCTTCAAGTTTACCGAGCTTAAGGGCAATTGAATAAAATGACAAAAAAAATGAATGGACACTGTGGGGATTGAACCCACGACCTCATGCAAGCGCCCGATGATCTTTGGTGCAAAGCAGGCGCGCTACCACTGTGCCAAGTGCCCTTGCTAATTGTTGCAGTGCTCTCATTATTCACCAGAATACAGGATGCGGAGAGCAGAATGGACAATGTGCGCTTGCCGGGGACTTGCTCTTCGTCCTCGATACTGGGTCAGGAGCGGAGATAGTCACCAATAGGGTCTAATGCAAGATGGGAATGACGGGACCTGCATTCCAAGACGTCAACTGAAGACTGCAATCATGTGTGGGAGACGAGTTCTCTAGCTTGACAAGATGCATGCGGTATGCCATTCCGGCGGACATGATATTGTCTGCAGAAAGTAAATCCGAGATGGTACAGATTGGGTGTAATTAACATCCACAACAGGCGAAACATTGCATACGAAGTAGCGCAGCGGCCATCTAGGTGCAGCGACAGAAGTATTACACACCTAAGTTCGCTTCAGTGGCATGGGCCCCAAGGCCAGAAGATGGGGACAGCTCTATCAGTCAAACAGTGCGACCACGATGCGATTTGGATGGAGCGCGGTCAATGCCAGACAGATGAAGGAGACGATTCGACGCATGTGGGAGAAGGAATCAATCGTCAGCACAGATCGCAGTCAGCAGGGGGATCACTGACTGCTTGTAATTTTCCCATTCTGGGCCAGCAAACTTTTTGTCGCCAGCTCTCTGGATTGGAAAGGTAAGCGGTCCGTGCGCGGCTCTGTGAGAGTTCTCGATCCAAAAAGTACATATGAGGGGCAGAAAAACGCCGAGATCACAATCCGCCGCATACACCAGAGCCAAAAGTGAAAGAACATGAGTAGGGTCCGTCGAGATCAGTCCGACAGAATACGGCGGCGCGATGGAAACCCAAATCTGAAGAATGACGCTCACTCACCTCCAAGGGCGGAACCCCCGAAACCCTTCTGACCAGGTACCATGTCATGAGAGGTGATACACCAGCGAGGAGTGAGCCAAACCAAGGGACGTAAGGTGTGCTCAAGGAGGAAGTCGACAAGGCCCAGATACCTGTCCACAAGCCGACTTCACCAACGTAGCTGAAGATAGGGCGTCAGAAGTTCTGAGCATGGTAACAATATGACCAATGCTGCCCAGAAGATTGATCAAGTCGATCCGGGAGAGGTTGGTCTGTAAGAGTTTATATGACATACTTGGGATGTCGGCTCAGGCTCCACAGCCCGCCGGTAATAAACTTCTCATCGTGGTCTTTGTTCTCTTTGCGCCGTCTCCAGGTCGTCTTCTGGTGATCCGCAACTGTTCAGAGTCATTTATCAGAGATAGACCTAAGATCGTATGAGACAAGAGGTCACGCCGCTCAGGGAAGTAGGAAAGGCAGATAATATGGAGTTGCAATGTCTCGAGGGCTCGAGGGCCAACAACGTAAGATGAAATGACACGGGAGCCAACACGTACCGATTTCGAAGAGCCACGAGGCCGCGAAAAGTGCAGTCGCAAGATAGTCTCGCACACCAAGGGGAGGGTGAGCGGAAACGGGAATGACGTTCACCTGGCAGATGTCTTGATTAGATACTTCGATAATAACAATTCTCGCTGCCGTACCATATACACCGGCATCCCAACCAAGAGAATCCAGGTTGCTATGGTTCAGTTTCGTGGTCTGTTGGTAACCAACAGCTATACTGATGCCAGTATTACGTACCTTGTGCCATCCAGTAGAAGGCGAATTTCGTTGGCTGGTATTTGATTTCATCGAAGCGAGAGTCACCTCCGGCTTTTATGGCTCTCTAATTACGAAAGGTCCAAGTGGAATGTCAGAGCATGGAACACTTGGAGCCGAGCAGCATGTAAGAATTAGCTAACCGCGGCCAAGAAACTGCCCAACCTAACACTCCATGCGCCCAAAGCCGCCGTGAGTAAAAGTTGTCGTGGGGCAAATGTAGTCAATTTTGGTATGACCGCACCAGAGACTCCATCCCAGAACTTGGCCTTGAAGCTGGGGTAATAAAGCGAGACGACGGTGGTGGAAACGAAGCCAAGGGCACCACCTAAGTCGTAATATTTCTCATTCGCCTGAGGCACAAATATGAGAGCAAGAGCTATGTATCAAAGAATTCCTTGAATATAACGATTCATTACACCCGATTTGGAGACGACTAACTTACCTGTCTGTAGGCTATACGCGCTAACCACGACTGGGAGAAGGCGGGAGAAAATTGGCATTGATCAAGTTTCAAGAGGAATAGAAAGGCTGTAAGAAAAAAAGGTTATCTGGTAAGAGGGGATAAGAAAGAGAGGAGATGGTCGTGGTTGGTGGTCAAGAGGTTCGCGGGTGTCGAGGATCGTGTTGAGTTTGGTGGAGCTTCCGTGCACGTGCCAAGTCGCGTCGCGTCGGCGGCGTTGGGCGCTAGACTAATGACAAAACGCGTGATGTCATGAAGTGGTCTCAGTAGACGCTGGTGTACTTGGGGCAGTTTCGGTCGCTGCAAAGCCAACAAACGACCTCAACATGACACACAGCGAGCAGAGGATAAAACCCAACGTACACCCAGAGGGAGACGTCCACCAGGGAAAATTCTCTGCAATTCCCCACCCCCTTCCAGAAGATCACCACGCTCGTCCACAATTCAAACCCATACCAGATACAGGCTGGAAGGGACAGCCCTCAGTACCCAGTCAGAGTGGCGGATCAGATGAGGTGGACTTTTTGAATAAGCCACCATATTTCTGGAAGAGCGAAGGTGACAAGCTCCAGGCAAAATATGTGACGTGAGTATTCCCTAAAATTGATAACGCTACTAATCGTTTTATCATATCACTCTAGGGAGTGCTGGTGCGGAAACATTTCTTTTGAACTTCATGGTGACCCAGTCGACGCAAAGCACTGTCACTGTCGACAGTGTCAACATCTGCACGGTGCACCGTTCCAGTGGGCGGTTATATTCCCCAAGGTGGGTCCCACTCAGGCTGCTCTTCTCCACACTGAGAATTCTTAGCAAAACCGCACAGACTTCCGTAAGGATGATAAAGAACGTAGATGATAGTCTGCATTTCTTCAGTACTGAGAAGAAGAAAGGCGAACATTGCGTACCGTGCAAGGTAAAACCCTTTCATCTACACATGATTCTACAATGTCTCTTACTTGCTTTTATTCGCGATTTCCAGGTCTCCTGTAATGTATGCCGTGCGCCTATCTTCGATGAAGGTCGAAACGCCGTCCTCGCATATCCAGGTTCTTTCAAATTCAAGGACCATAAGGTGCCAATGGACTTCCAGCCTACTGCCCACATATTCTACGCTCAGAGGTACTGTTACTGCTTCAAAGGCTTACGAAGAGATGACTGATCCGGTATCGACAGGGTAATGGACGTACCCGACGGCATCCCCAAGTGGTCTGCACACAAGGGAGAGAGTGAGCTTATAGAAGAGATGTCCGAAGATCAAGGGTGCGTTGTATTGTGTGTGCACCCTGGGTGTACTCATGAATATTCTTGCAGAACGATGCCAAAATACAAGGGGAAACCTATACCAGATGACGAAAAGTATCAGGACGCGAGTAAAGGTAGCGGTACCTAAGTGAAGGATGCGAAACCGAGTTAAAACCTGCTGCAGCATCTTGGAGTTGATGAAATCGATGCACCAAAATACCGGGGGGGGGGGGGGGGG